AAATGTGTGTAAGATGAGAGAAGATTTTTTCTTTTATATTTATTGATTTCTATTATTTTGTTCCTATAACTTTCTTTTACTTTCTTTTAATTTCCTTGGTTATATTTCTCAAGTTATTTCTATGTCTTATATAACCTTCGTTAATTTTCTTTATCTTTTATTTTGTGGTTTACTTGTTAATTCTTTTAATGTTAATTTCTAAATATTTCGTTCAATGTTTTTATTTATTTATTTATTTATTTACTTATTTATGTATTTCAATATTCTTTATCTTTCTTTTCTAAATTTATTAATTCTTTCAATGTCATTATTTGTTTGTTTTTATTTTTGTTTTCTTTCTCGGTGTTTCTATCTGTGTATTTCCTCTGACTTCTATTCTCAGCTGTGCTCACTTATATTCTGTTCAATTGAGGTTATAAGAAATAAACTGTCCAGCCTGAAGGTCCATAAGAGTCCCGGCCCTGACATGGTGCATCCCAGAGTGCTAAGAGAGTTGTGTAACGAGCTTGCCGAGCCCCTGAAGATCCTGTTCTGTAAATACCTGGATGAACAAAAGGTCCCCAGTGATTGGAAAATGTCTTATGTGAGTCCTATCTTCAAGAAGGACGATCATCACTCCACGAATAACTATAGACCGGTGAGCCTGACCAGCATAGTATATAAAGTACTTGAGAGCATGATAAGAGATACCATGATGGAACATCTACTATGAAACAACCTTGTAAAGGATGGCCAACACGGTTTTATGCCGGGGCGCTCCTGCTTAACACAATTATTCAAGGTACTGGATATTTGGACCCAAATTCTGGAACAGGGTGGTAATATCGACAATATATACCTAGATTTTGCCAAGGTTTTCGACAGTGTACCCCACAAAAGGCTGAAAATCAAACTTGAAGGGTTCGGAATTCTGGGAAATGTTCTAGCGTGGATCGGAGACTTTCTCCATGACCGCAAGCAATGCGTGGTGATTAATGACATGAAATCATCATCCGTACCTGTCATAAGCGGGGTATCACAGGGCAGTGTATTGGGCCCACCGCTGTTGTTTTTTGTTTTTTTGCTTCATAAATGACATGCCTGACGCTGTACATTCCTCTATACAAATGTTTGCGGATGACGCCAAGTTATTTCGGGAAATCAAGAACCAAGCAGACTGTGACGAGCTGCAGAATGATCTCGGTGAGCTTTGAGAATGGTCGAAGAAATGGCTGCTAAGATTCAACATCGCGAAGTGCAAGAGGCTGCACCTGGGATGTGCCAACGGTAAGGAGGCGTATCATGTGTCCCACTGGGACGAAGAAACTGCATAAATTGAGACTGAATGTGGAAAGGACCTAGGCGTTTATGTTGACAATGAGCTGAAGTTATCGGGCCGTTGCGAGAAGAAGGTAAATCAGGCAACTAATTTATTAGGTCTTATAAGAAGGCAGTAACGATCTTCAAGAGTAAAGTGCTTCCCCTTCTGGAGTACTGTCACCCCGTATGGTCCAAGAGATATGCTAGGGACTGTCAGTTGATTGAAAATATCCAAAGGAGGGCCACCAGACTGGTGCCTGCACTACGGCACCTCAGCTACCCTGAGAGATTAGAGCGCCTGAAATTGCCTAGCTTATACTACAGACAGGCAACGGGAGACTTAATTGAGATGTATAAGCATCTCAAAATGCACTACTCAGTCGAGTGCCCTTACCTGGAGCTGGCGGACGCTTGCCGCACAAGGGGTCACAGCTCAAGGTTGAAGAAGCCGCAAGTCCAGAAAACTGTGAGGGGTAACTTTTTCGGAGTGAGAGTTGTGAACTCTTGTAACAACCTGCTCCAGTGTTGGTCAAGTCTGGTCTTGAATGAGCTCACACTCGGTGCCATTGCCATGGTCACATTTGTGTAGTTTGTCCGTTCAACACTTAATTATTCATTTTATGCCACAGAGCCCACAGAAAATGTGAAACGTTTGAGTCCCCCAGTAAAGACGTCCGTTCTCTATCCTTTTCAGGATGTCGCAGTTCCTTCGATTTTCTTTTGTGTACTCGCTTAGGGACTCAGGAATTTTTCTAACTAGCTTGGCTGTTCAGGGAATTTAAAATTGTGAGTGAATTAATTTCTTATACAGTCAATTATGTACACCCACAGTAAGAGAAAATAGTCTAGATGCATTGAGTATAGGTTGAAGGCATCTTGTATCTTTTGTGTCGAGTGTGTTGTGTTAAGATAATATGTGTTGATTACTCTGTTTGCCAGCTGTAAATCTTTGGTACCGTTTGTTCTTACGCGGCGGCCGTTCATAATTGAAGTCATTCTGTTTTGATGTTTGAACATCAGAAAATCTGATGGAAACAGAGAAAGTATTGTTAGCTTTGTTCTTATCATCGAAAGTCTCAGTTCCCCCCCACCACCCCTCCGCGCACTGCCATTCTGAGTATTTGTCGTTAGTTTTGTTGTGTTTAAGTTGTGTTCAAGCTCCTTCAGCCTAGTAATGTTACGACATTCGTGTCACTCACTTTAAGTCACGAATTCCATCCGTACAGAGAGAGAGAGCTGGTCGTATCGACCACGGGACAACGTCACACTAGTATTGGGAGATGGATGAACGTCAATAAGGTCGGATATGGTCGCCAACAGTTATGGGATGAGCCGAGATCTCACCCAAAGGCCCACCGGCCTGCAGCCAGCCGCTTGGAGATTGTTGGCCTGGTCGCCACCCACTTGTTGCTCGCCCGCGATGTAAACATGACTCGCTCATGTAGTGTTGCTTTGTGAGTTCACCGCTAAGTACAGATGACTGTGGTGTGTTATTTGTCCGAGAAGTCGTGTGTATAATCTCCTCAGTGCTATATATGTTTAGGGCTTGTAACCACGGTAGCTCTACAGGAATTTAGTTGTGGGGTTACTGTAAAGTTTTATCACTGTCTACAAGGTACATTTTCAGGTAATCTGTTTGGTTGATGCTCCAGTATCCTATATAGATGTGATCACAGTGTTAGGAGGTTTTGTGAAAAGTACACCATTTTGTTTCTATACTTGAGGTGTATTGTTTGGTACTCCAGTGTACGAGGTAGCAGAGGAGTGTGGTGTCTTGTTTAAAAGACACACCAAGTGATGGTGACTGCGAGAGGTGTAGTGTACAGAACCTTGTTGAGAAGTACATGAGTGTTACTCATAGTAGTTGTGTGTACTGGAAGTAGTCAGAAGTCTAGCATTTTTGTAATAAACCATTTTTTTGTATGTTAGGGGTATTATTTGCCTTTATTTTCTTCCCCATATCTTGGTACCATTATTACAGTTCCACGTTTCTTACCCTCGAGTCATACTACCACAGGTCAGAGTTAAGACAGAGAGAGTACAGTAAAAATGTATAAGTAAGAGATTTTACCACCGTTACAATGGCGCAGCGGTAGGGATTTTTCTATCTCTTCCACCGTTACACCGTCACAACACTTTCTGGTAGATTGTTCCAAGAGTTCACAACTCTCACTCCGAAAAAATTTGCCTTCACAGTTTCCTAGACCTGCGGCTTCTTCAGCTTGAGCTGTGACCCCTTAAGGGGTGAGCGTCTGCCAGCTCCAGGTAAGGACACCCTGTAAGGGGCACGTTTTTCCTCTTTATCCTATTTCATCTATTTATTCTTTTTATTCTTCCATATATTTATTCTCTTTATTCTTATATACTTATACAGTGTATACTTATATTCTTGCTCATATCTATCTTTCATATTTATCTTTTCTGGTGTATGCATAGTTTAATAATTTCATATTCTATGTCTTTCTCTCTATAATTATATATATTATATTTCTCTGCTTATATTTTCTAAGTCAATATTCTTTTCTTTACTTCATTTCTTCTTTCATATATATTATTGTATTTTCTGAATTTCATGTCCCCACTTTCTCTCAACTATATCCTGTTCTAGTTATATTCTAAACCATGGATTAGTCTGGGAAACCATGTCATTTGAGACTGAATGTGAGAAGGACAATGAGCTGAAGTTCTCGGGCCATTGCGAGAAGAATGCAAATCAGGCAAATAAATTATTGGGTCTTATAAGAAGGTCGTAACGATCTTCAAGAGTGAAGTGCTTCCCCATCTGGAGTACTGTCACCCCGTCTGGTCCCCGAGATATGCTAGGGACTGTCAGTTGGTTGAAAATGTTCAAAGGAGCGCCTGAACTTGCCTAGCTTATACTACAGACGGGCAAGGGGAGACCTAATTGAGGTGTATAAGCATCTCAAGAGGCACTACTCAGTCGAGTGTCCATACCTGGAGCTGGCTGACGCCCGCCCCACAAGTGGTCACAGCTCAAGGTTGAAGAAACCACAAGTCCAGAAAACTGAGGCGAACTTTTTCAGAGAGTGTTGTGACGGCACCGAGTGTGAGCTCTTTCAAGACCAGACTTGACCAACACTGGAACAGGTTGAGATACATTCAGGAGCCGGTACATGCCCATTACTTGCCAATAGTGCGTAACAGAGACGTGACCGACCGCCCAAGCAGCTAAAGAGCCGATCAATAGCGAAGAGGATAAAAATGAAATAAATTAAATAATCTGGTCTTATTTCTCACAATATCATGTAAGACGCTATAGGATTAATGTGATTGCCACTTCCCAGCCGCTTGGCGTCGCCACCGTCGCGGAGGGTAAAAAATTTAACACAGAATTAGAATCCTTGGTCGTAAGACGTGCCACACACACTCAGCACGGCACTAACGAACAACTGCCCCAAGTCGACACCTTCAGTGACAAACCTACTCAAACACTATTCATATATGTTCGTTGACTTTCGGGTGAGGTCACCTTGATTTATTAACTTGTTCTTGTTTGTTTTTATCATTAGACGAACCTAAAACAAACGCTACGAGTCGAGCAATTGCACTGCAGTATGTGTGAAGAAAAATCATATTAAATAGATTTAACTAAATTGGGGTTTACAAGAATATCATAAATACACATTATTTCAACCAAATTAAGCACATAGTATTTGGTAATGTTTTTCTGCTTTACTATATATGAAGCAAGGTCTACCGTGACGTCACTGGTTACTTTGGCAACAGTAAACAACAATATGGAGAAAGGTGATTCAACCATAATGCTTCCTTCTAACCAGATGTCCACATTTTCTGGTGAGTCTTTGCTGTTTTTTGTACATTTATGTATATTAATAGAGTCCTTTTATGCTTGAGAATGTCATATTAGAGCCTCAGCGACTCGTATGTAACTATAGTGTAGTAAATTACCGTGAAAGCACTGGCTATGATCCTCGTCTTGGTGTGGGTGTCACGCACTCACCACCTTAGCTAAGAATAAAACACCTGCTGATTGACTTAAAATCCTTTATGTAGTTGCCTTTTTTACAGTTCATGATACTTAAGTCCTCCGATTGTTTGAATTAAGTGGAACAGATGGAGGAGGTGAAGTAGACCAGACCAGCTGACCTGGTGTGTTGCCAAGATGGTCAAGGTCTTTGTTGCCTCAGTCTCTGCTACTCGTTTGTCAACTCATGACTATATATAAAGGTTAAGTATTTCTAGGATGTGAATGTAGAGATAATTATTTCTTGGTATGTTCGTGTAAGTAGATTTTTGTCTAGTAAATATATCTTACTTAAGGTAAAGTTTAAGGGTTTGTGGCAAAGTTATTGGTAAAACTATAGTTTCGGTCTTTCAAACTAACCTAACCTAACTTGGTGGGGCTTCACCTCCCCCAGATCCCCCCCAAGATTCCCAGGATGACCAAAGTTAAAATAATACCAAGTTTTATATATATATATATATATATATATATATATATATATATATATATATATATATATATATATATATATATATATATATATATATATATATATATATATATATATATATTATATATATATTATATATATATATATATATATATATATATATATATATATATATCGAATCGATGGGTGAAGTAAAGTATGAAGAGATCTTGATGCTGGTGCGTAGATTGGTGGTGCGGGAACTGGACTTGAAGAATGATGGTGGAATTTGGAGGGACTTGGGATTGGTGGATAGTGCAAGAAGAAAAGCGAGGAAATTGGAAAATAGTAGTAGTCTTGGGGCTCAACCCAAGTGCTTCTGTTTTCTCATGTTTGTGTTTCAGCTAATTTTCGTCTTAGGTGTTATATTTATGTCAGGTGTTTGTATGTTTAGCAAGTGTTGCAATTTTATGCCTTTCTGGTATTACAGTTTCACTCTTAATTGGGTTATGCAATTTAGAGTTCACCAGGAGTTATATTACATCAATTGCAACAAGTTTTTCTATTACCACTTCCGCAAAATGGATAATAACCGAGATGGTAAATTCACGTAGGAAATTCACGTAAAATATCACTTCGCTATGAGGGTCGATGTAATCTCTACAAACTCTGATATTGTGACTATGAGAGACATCTAGTGGTTTTCCCAAGAGTTAAAATGTTACCATCAGAGACATCTGGTGGGCCTAAAACTACCTGTCACAGAGCTTCGTGAAACTGCAATTTTAATGGTTTGGTTAGGTTAAGTTAGGCCTTTGGTTAGGTTAGGTTGGGTGAGGTTATGTTAGATTAGCTTCCTATTAGCTTCGTTTTGGTCTTCCCCCACCAAAAAACCCTGAATTCCCACAGGTCCCCCAAGATTGTTGGAGGGGGGGTGATAACTCAAAGACTATTCATTTCTAATGGAAATGATAGTGAAATTCAAGTGAATCACACCAAATACCATGGGAAAAACCTAGATTTATGGTCAGAAACCAATTGGTAGTGAAACTGTAATTATACCACCTAACCTAGAAAAGTCTGGTAACATTTTGGAAAAGGACAATCATGGAACTCTATGCAGTATTGATTTGTACATCATTGGGTAATAGAGAAAAAGAAGGTTCCGATTCGTTTCTTTTAAGTCATAGAACTTCATATTTCTATTTATATAGAAAAGAAAAAAAAAATTGTTACATTTTTTTTTTGCAAATTTTTTTGTAAACCCTCAAAGATTCATACTCAGTAAATCCGAATTTCAGAAGACTCAGACAAAATCTGGGCATTCCGGAGGCTAAGAAGCCTTCCCAAAGCAGAGCAAAGATCATCTTAGGTGCGGGACACAGGTGTCTGAGTCGAGAAACATAAACAAAGTTGTTAATTGTTGTTTGTGTGAATATTATTTCATTCATTCTAGTAATGATACAATCTTTAATCTCATGTTATCAAAGGTAAATGTTTGGTTTATATAATTCTTTATCAATGGACCCATCACTGTTTTCAAATTAGACTACTTACATGATATGTAATTCTCCCAAACGTATTTTGATCGTACGGCTGGCAAGGTGAGTCGAGTGACCGCTAGTTGAGTATCGTTTGCTGTTGTAACTCTCTTCATTTTTTCACAATATACTGTACTGTATGTACAGTAGCTAAAAAAAGTGTCTGTGCATACTCTGTGTGAAATAATATGAGACCTTGGACGATAGGTATTGGGATATGTGTGTAGTCTTCTTATACTTTATGGTGGTAATTACTCAACCTTTTATTTTATTCATATATGTCAACTCACCTCTGTGTTGGATACTGAATGGTGGTGGGTGAAGACACGCATACCAACCCTCCCGAGTTATTATGAGTGTTCAGATAATTTCGGAAGTCATTGGACCCACCCTGTCAGATACTTTTTTTAGCGACTGTACAAACAGTACAGTATTGTGAAAAAAAGGTAAAAGAAACAATTGTCCTAAGGGCAAACATGTAAAGGGAATAGACGACAGTAGACTGCCAAAGCAGCTACTTTAAGAGCCACCTAACGAATAGTAAACATAACACCGGCGGGCAACTGAAAAAGAATAAGGATAGTCTTAAGACAAACCTGAAAAAGTGCCAAATCGACCCCCTCACCTGGGAGACGATTACTGCACATCGTAATGCTTGGAGGAGCACCACATGAGAAAGTGTCAATACTTTTGAGTTAGTCCGACTGCAAACCGAGGCAGACAAGCGTCAACTCCGGGAAGCCTGTCGCCACCCCCTCCGCACTAGATGTAGCCCTCCACATGTGCAACATCTGTGAATGACTCTGCCGGTCCCGTATCAGCCTCTTTAATCACCTCAGAACTCACCAACCTAGGTGACATCCCTAATGACTCGCATCATTGTATCATAGCTGGATGATCGTCATACTCGATTCCAAGTGACAGCAAAGTGCTAAGTACTAGTATTAATGAATGGTGAGACAACAGTGCAAGAACTTGAAACATTGTGGACCTGTAATTAAACTATAAAAGCATTTTTAGAAAGTTAGTACGGTAATGTGATCAAGGTTTTATTTCTTTATTTTAAATTAGGTAAATTAAATAAGGTCATATACAGTACTGTACTATACTGTACTGTACTGTACTGTACTGTACTGTACTATACTATACTATACTGTATTACTGTACTGTACTATACTATACTGTACTGTACTGTACTGTACTATACTATACTGTACTGTACTGTACTGTACTGTACTATACTGTACTTTACAGTATTTGTAGAGGAAGGTTAATGTTGCTATACTCCCTAACCACACCTATTACTCATTGATATATTTCTACTGTGAAGTACTAAAACTTACCTGTTTGTTCACCAGATGTTGGAGCGATCATCCTGGCATTTGGGTAAAGCTGCCGGTGATGCCCGGCAGACCTCCACCTCCTTGTCCGACAGAATAAAGCAACTGTAGCTTCCAGTCTTACCCTTTTATTGTCTTCTTCTCTTAAGTGAGAACTATTAAGAATACTGTAATTTATAATTCTTACCTGTCTGTCAAGATGCCTATTCATGTCACAGACTATACTTGGCAGCAGACCAGTGAAAAGATCTTGTTATCTCTTGATCTACATCAGACAAGTCCTAAGAATGTTGACATAGTGACTACCAACTCCTATCTCAAGGTAAGTTTTGGCCTTCTTCAATCATTTATGTAAAGTAGTGTAGTACAGACATTCCAGTCTTGTTGAATATCCATAAGCAATGCTTAAAATTTATTTTTGGAAATTTACAGTTGGGGACTTTTCCGACTGGTACACTCAGCAGTGTCAATCAACCTCTCCCTGAGGTTGAGTCCCTCGAGTCTCGACTCGTATATCCGAAACCTCTGAGTTACTCGGAGCACATGAGGTACACACAGCAGCCTGGAACCAGAGTATTTTAAAGCACCTCTTGATTTATTTAACCGAGTATACCAGTCGGAAAAGTCCCCAGCTATACTTAGTCAGATTTTGGCACAAGTAGTGGAACCAGCTGTAATTACTATGTTGATTTAAGATTTTATAAGCTTTTGCCAGCAGCTCTGTGTGTCGCTTGGTTACAGTATTTTGCTAAAAGAATGTTTTGATGTACAGGGTAATTGTTATTATTACAGTCCTGAATAATTCTTCCCCAGGTGAGTTTTTTGCCATACATATTTGAAGCATTTTTGTGCCATATGATAAATGCAGACCAGAGCACGGCCCAGATCATGAAGGGACAAATAAAGTTTGATTTGGCCAAGGAAGATCATGTGCACTGGAGTGATCTCTGTCTGAAGTTGAGTCGTGAAGAGATGCAGAACAAGAGGCAAGAAGCCATTAAAGATGTTGAAGAGCAAGAGAAGAAAAGCAAAAGCAAAAAAAAGGTAAAAGTGGTGTTGGACATAGAAACAGTAATGTGTATTTATAGTTCACTTGTACCACACTCTTTCCTTTTATACTGAGTAGATATATAGCCGACTATTCATTTATAAGATGGACGTCACATTCCTGTAAAAAAAATGTGTCCAAGGTGTCTTTTCTATGTTAGTTCAATGACAAATTTACTAATACTGTACAGTTAATATTGAAGTTACTGATAATTGAAAAATAAAACATTTAAAACACAGTGGAGGTCACAATAAAGGAACAATGAACAGAGTGACATCCCAAATGGCTAATGAGCTGATAAAATGGTAGAAATGGTAAATTAGATTGATTTTAAAAACCCAGTAAATGACGGCTGGATCACCAGACTAAAACCTGGATTTCCAGACCTAAAAAGAATAGGTAAGAGTATAAGACCAAGGGGTTTATGATGGCTTTCCTTTTTTAATCATTAAACACATTGTACAGAGTATTCCATGTCTTGATATTAAACTGAATGCAGATGTGTTCAGAAGGACTGTGGTGAGGAGGTTTTTCAGTTATCACATGAATGAAGAGTTTTAATTGATCAGGTTGGTTGTTTCATAAAGAAAACTAAACAGTTGTGTTATTTTTAAACTGTTTACAGTAAGGAAACAAGAAGATAGTATTTGGTACGTTACAATTTATGTACCATATTGAAAAGGGACTCAACATAGAGAGTAGTTAAGGCAAAGTTTAATGTGTATTTGGTATAATTTTAAATAATTTTACAGCACAAACTTCTTACTTTTGTAGTGAAGTAAAGAATGTTATGTCGGTTAAAACAGTTTGATAACTTTTCAATCCGATATTAATTTTACTCACTAACAATGATTGAAATCTTACTGACAAACGTAAGGTTCTGTATTGTGATTGTACAAGTTGAAAATATTGCTTGTGTATTTTTACCCTATTATTGATGAACTGTATATTACTCAGTGTGGGAATAAAGAACCTAGAAACTGGAAGATAAGAGTGACTAAGGGAGCACTATGGTCTTCGAGGTAGTCTCCACAGGAAATTTCACTACTAAGCATTATTATTTGTAGAAGAACAGCAGAGAACCTTAAATTTTTTTTATATCTCACTGTACATGTGAATATAGAAATTTTAGAGCAAGTTATTATATTTATATCATAAAGGCTTACTGTACCATGATAATTGTATAATCTATTCTTTCTTTTGTAATAGAGGAGTGTAATCGCCGTGAAAGATTTGCTGTCGCTAGAACAGATTTCAGAAGATGACAAAGTGCGAGAGGAACGTAAAAAGTTGATAGAAAGAGAAAAAACGGACTTCCTTAAACAAACAATTGAAGATGACCCTCAGAACAACCAAACACAAGGTAAAAATTTATTTTTGTTATGAACTTTCAGGTGGTATGTGGTGTTGGGACATCAAATAAGAACACATCTGGTACATCTGGTTATTCAGCTAAAAAAAAAAGTTGAGAGTGAATGAGGGAGAGTTTGTGTTGTTGTTGGCTATGGTTATTCTGCATTGTAGTGAAAAATAGCATTTAATATAGTGTAGGTTTAGATGCCAGGGACCACCAGGGACCATTAGGAATACATTCTGACTCACCTTAAATTTTATTTTGTTGTACAGTACAATGAAATTTGCTTATTATTGTAGTGTACAGTATGTCTGTCAGTGCTTATTCAGGACAAATATTATGTGCAGCTGTAATCAAAATTCTGTACAGTCATCCCCGATTTTCAGAAATATGTTTTATGGAAACAAATCAACAAAGTCGATGATTAATAGTGTGTGCAGGTTTAAGTCTAGCCGGTCACTGACCGATAACCAAAAATAAACTTGCATGAGCTGGCGCTGGTATACCAATTTTTCAGATTCTAAACCAGTACAGTATTATAATGTACATGTACTAACATTTTCCCACTTCAGCTCTATTTAGTAACTAAAAGTTACTAAAAATAATTATACCAATAAATAAATTAAAACAAAATATACTGTATTTCCATTTGGCTGCTGGACAATGAAATTTGTCAATACTGTACAATAAACCTTCGAAGATTCATACTTAGCAAATCCTGATTTCAGAATACAAAATCTGGGGGTTCCGGAGGCTAAGAAGCCTTCCCAAAACAAAGCAAAGATCATCTTAGGTGCGGGACACAGGTGTCTCAGGCGGGAAACATAAACAAAGTTGTCAATTGTTGTTTGTGGGAATATTATTTCATTCATTCTAGTAATGATACAATCTTTAAACTTCATGTTATCAAAGGTAAATTATATTAACATATTATTTGTTTATCTCTTTGCCTGTCACCATATAGACAACAGTACAAGATATGTATTTGTACTCAGGCATTTTTGTATAGTAAAAGATAATTACTATTGACCTCAGAATATTTCCTAATATCAAGTGCACATGGCCTCAAAATGGTCTCAAAATGACCATGATATTGGTTAAGATTTAAAAATAATTTCTTGTGGCTTACATCCCCCCACCTCTCAAGGCTGGGTTGGCTTGCTGTGCTCGCCATGTTCCCTCAACCACAACTTCTTAGGCTTCAATATTCTTGGATTCACCTCTGTTATGTAGGAACCAATCTCCAGTTACATAATGGGAGTCTATGGGAAAATTGGGTTCGATACTGCATATCGAATTTTGACATACGTCAAGACTTTATGGAACCTAAAACTTCTGAATATCAGGGAACGATTGTACAGTACAGTAATGTTTAAAAGTTAAATAACAAAAAACTTAATGACATAGAACCAGGTTAGTGTATAGTTTATAATTCTTGTGTAAGATTAACTTGTGCAGTCCTATTGCAGTGCCTCAACATTCATTCATTTATCCCACTATAGCTTTCTGGATACATACACCAGTAGTACTGTAGCATTAAACATACCTGAGTTTACACCTTAATTGAAAATATGTCAGCAGGTATAAGTGCACAGTGCTCTGTTGACTGTCACCTCTTTTTAGATGCTACAAGTAAACCTGATATCCGTCGTCGGATTAGCAGCATGTGCTCTGAAGATGGCACCGCTGTGGCACAGGAGATGGATTATGATGGTGATGGTGAAGACAGTATCTATTATTCATCTACAGAGAACCTTCATCTTAAGGTAAGTTTAATGTAGAAATGTGTCTGTTCTCAGTTCACAATTTATAAGAGTTTAATACAGTATAAATGGGTAGACTTTAAAAGGAGAGACATTAACCTTGGGTAGCATGAAACTTGTGGGAATCACTTGTGTTAAAAACCAGTCCAACACGCCATTTAAATATATGGTACTGTACTGTTGATCTGTAGCCCTTAGGATCATAGAGAAGTATAACCATTATCATAACTACTGTACCTGTACCTGTTAATCATTAGAGATCTGGACCCTCCTTGTGGCACCATCACTGGGCAATTTGGGAATAAAAGAACAATTAATACATTTATTTGCCTAACCCCTGCGGGGGGCACCTAACCCCTGGTAGTGTGACACGGCTCATGGCTTCAGACAGCTCATGGTGGGACAAGAAATGGCAGGTGGAGATTTATTGATAGAATTTCTTTGGCGTTCCTCACTTGTGCGATTTTTCTGAAAGAAACACGTTTCAAAGAGGCTTCAAGGGTTGAGGAATGTATATATGAGGTAGAAATTGCCTAAAAGTAAGTGCTTCTATGTGATTTGAAGATGTGCTAAACCGAATAATAACCATATATATTTACACTCTTGATAACTCGGCATTCGATATCTCGGAATTTCATATAATTTGGCTCGTGTATGATCTCTGACTTTATTGTTTAGCCACGTGGGTAACACTCGCCACGCTGCACTCCACTCTTGGTCAGTCTGGTGTTTGTTATTGTTGTGGTCGGGTGTGTGCCGCTCACTCCACCCAGCACATGGATGTGGGAAGGGAGGGTGCTGTAACACCCCAATATTTTGGGTATAAACTACTATACACTGCACCACAGAGTATCTAGGGCACCAGAATTAATATTCATCACTCCATGGTAAAATTTGGTTCCTGTGATACTAACCCAGTAACACCCAACAACCTCCCCCATTCATGTCAGGTCAGCCACTGTATGCAGAACGTCTCCACAATGTTGTAGATTTTATTTAATTTACTGTGTTATTCATTTTATCCGAATTCCAACTCTAAATCTTCCAGGTATCCCAACTTTGTCCCCTTTGGTAAAAATTTAATTTAGCCCAATAATTAAAAAGCAACTGAAGTCATTTATTCGCTGTCTGACACCTGTAGCGCTAGAACAGCTTTTAAACAAAAATTGCTGCGATAAAACAATAAAATCAATACATAGCATATCATAAAATACAAATTATCATGTTAGTGATGCCACAGTTCAACCAGGCAGTCAACCAGTGACCAAATGTTACAGTAGTACCTTATAAGTGCTGCACTGTTTACTGTTTATATAGCGTTTCAAGGCCACCTACCATTCCCCTGAGTCACCTATCGCCCCCCAAGGCCACCCATCACTCCCCTACGGCCACCTACCTCCATTCCCCGCGTCACCTACCATTCCCCTGAGTCACCCATCATTCCCCAAGGCCACCCATTCCCCTCGTCACCTACCATTCCCCAAGGCCACCTACATCATTCCCCAGGCCACCTATCATTTCCCTGCGTCACCTACCATTCCCCTGCATCACCTATCATTCCCCCGTCACCTATCATTCCCCTCGTCACCTATCATTCCCCTGAGTCACCTATCATTCCCCTGCGTCACCTACCATTCCCCAAGGCCACCTACCATTCCCCTCGTCACCTACCATTCCCCCAAGGTCACCTATCATCCCCAACGCCACCTACCATTCCCCTCGTCACCTACCATGCCTCTCGCCTTCTACAATGCTTCATTCTTCACCTGCAGTGCTGGTAAGTGTTATTTTTGAAATTTAGTAATTACATGTACTGTATACATATATAGGCTGATCATATTTTATTGTTGTATTTTTATACGTTGCCTTGATAAGTCGGAATTGGGGATAATTCGGCAAGGCCAGAGCCCCATACGTGCAGAGTCATCAAAGTTTTACTGTAGTTAGTCCAGTTCTCAGGGTTTTTACTGTATGTTTTTACTCAATTAAATGCACACACAATCCTCACCATACATACAGTAAAAAACCCGAGTACTGGACTAATTAAACCGCACCATTGTTGCAACTCAGATGGAATCCATTATTCAGACTTACTGTACATATCAGCAGGGAGGCACAACTGTTCAAAACAACATCCAATATATTACATTAACGTAGATTGGCTTATTTAGGCTCCTAATAAATTTGTTCAAGTAAAATTATTATAGTACTTTCAGTAAATTTATATTTTTTTTATTTAAAGTTTTAATTAGTTGTAGGTAAGGTTCTAGATTCTAGAACCTTACCTACATTGTAGTAAGTAATATTATAGTGTAAAGTAGTATGCATCAGCATATACCCTGGTTTATTCATTAATCGTTTGTCTAAGTTTACAAGTATCCAAACTGAGTCATCATATACCACTCAAAGGTAATAAATAACATTTTTAGAAAAGTATCTTCATATCAAATACTATACAGTGTGTTATAGTGACCCTGTTGTAAGCTGGTGTGCTGAAAGCTCTCACACAAGTGTATCTGGAGTAAATAGCCTTCTGATACAGCTTATCCTTTTATTTTCAAGTCATATTACAAATTACATACAGTATTGTATTTTTTCTCTATTACTGAAGATGTTATATTAATCATGATGAACCATAAACCATAAGAGGCCAATCATATGAGATATAATACTGAATCAATCAATAAATAAACCTGATGATTGCTGCAACACCTCATCAGCCCCAGTCTGTTTACATACCCAAGTGTCTTAGTTCTCAGTAGGCCTATAGCAAATCTGATTACACCACTGTACAGTATTCAGTAAATGTTGTTCGTTTCATCAGATTTTTTTTATTTAATCTTCCCTATTTTTTTATTTTTTATTTTTTTTTATTTTTTCTGGCGACCAGAGCATCTCAGAGTCCGAAAAAAGTTAATTCTGATATATTGAAGTCCGATTTATTGAGGTTTTACTGTAGTTACTTTGTAATTGTTTAAGAGTATTTAATGTTCACACACAAACACTATTTGGCTTTTCTATTTATTTACCCAAATATAACACACACTATAATTATCAATAACAAACTAACAACATAAGAGCAACTGTCTATTTGTGAGACAATATAGGAGGTAATTTACAGCGCTCCTGTAACACATCTGTTGTGTGTGAGATACAGGGGTTAAATCTATTGAGGGTGGGGCACTTGGTGCTGACCTGTGTAAATCAGAGGTGTGGAGGACATGAAAATGTCATCCAACACCTGAGAAGTAAGTTGCTGATTATCCTAGTTAATTTTGGAAGTGTAATTTATACTTTTGCTAAATGTAAATAGCCCACATTTATATAAGTTCTACTGTCAATATATTGACAGGGAGGCTATTATATTGCTTGGCCACCTACCTCTTGATTCCACAAGGTACACTACATGTACCAACTATGCATAATATTGTTTTGTTTTACCATATTAAATTTTGGTTGAGTGAGCCACTTATCCATACTGACTGCACTGTAGTATATACAAATAATCTTTCAGAATGGTAATGTGAAGATTGATAAAGTGGATAATGGAAATCGTAAGCAACGGAAATCTAGCTCAATTCGCAAAGCAGCCCTCAAGGATAAAGAAGAGAAAAGGAAAGAAGAGAAGAAGAAGGTCACTACAGTACCACCAGTATGGGAGAATTGTATCATTAAAGTAAAACACACGACCAGGGTCTTCCCAACACCAAGTAGAGAGTCGACTCAAGCAGAAGAACAGCAGGTGAGAACGAGGCTGTTACAAAAGCAGTTGAGATTTTGTATACAACTTAAAGATAACAGTAAGACAAATATACATAAGAGTCAATGTTTTATTGAAGGATGAACTGATGAATAATGTGCAGGAATTACTGTATTTACAAACAAAACATTTAAATTTAATAGGGTTTCATATTAGTCATTGTATTTGCAGTGAGTTGACTCCAAATATCACACATGTATAGTAACTCCAGCTGTGCAGTATCGAATGGCTCATTAATATACTGCTTCAGTATTTTTAATCGAAAACCCAGTTGGGCTTTGTATTTATGGGTTATATTTGGATGACCTATTCCAGGTAGCAATAGTCTTCTTATCTTTCAGTACCATTTCTTGGACTAAAATCAAAGGCTCAGAAATAGATATAAGGATCTAGAATTAACTATGCTGCTTGCCTCAGTCTGACATTAAACCAGATACTGTAAGGGATACAAGGTTAAACCTGACTAAATCCTTTTGAGAACTTGCAATTAGTTTAACAATTTTAGTTTCTTATGTGAGGTAGTACTGTATTAATGTATACAGCAGTTACTGTTGGGTGTAGTAGATACAGCACTATGATATTCTCCTGTAAGAAAGTTGTTCTTATATTATATGTGGTGTGTTGACAGTGGCTCACCTCCCAGTCAGTCCATTCTTCTGCTGCTAAAGACTTCAGCTCAGAGAGCAGTGAGGAGCACCTCAAGAAGAAAGCAATGTAAGTTAATAGCACTAACTGTCAGCTTAATATTGAAGGATGTTTGAGGAGGACATGCTGTTTGGGTCTTATATTTAGAAGGGTTATCCAGATGGAAATTTTAGTTCACATTTATAGCAGAATACATCTGGCAGAGAAGATGATCATCATGTAAATAGGTATTAGAGTAAACAGATTTTCATTCTTTTTAATGTAAAACAAAACAAAATTAATTGCTATACATTCAATTGTCTCTTAGAAATTGACTCATAGTTCCAAATGTCCCAGTTTGTGATTCTTTGTTTAATAAATAAGAATTTATTTGTTCGCTGGTATTAGCATGGTTTAAAATAAATTGCCCAGACTCACTTATATGCATTTTTTTACAAGTCCCAGGCCACCAGGAACTGTTAAATGTTTCTCCCTATCACATACTTTGTACTTAGCATGATCACATCTCAGAGAATAAAAAAGTAATGTTGCAGGACAATCATGTCTATTCACTACTATATTATACTTGAACTGAAAAGATGAAAGGGATGTAGATTATGTAGTCTACAGTTATAACATGAGGAAGCATGTTTATTGGGTATGAGACATCACCATGTTTGGCTCATGAACTAGCTATAAAGACTAGCCTGTGGGAGAGTAAGCCACAGGTCTAATGATATACTGTACTGGGCTAAAGATTTGTGTACTACATCCTGAAACAATTGAAGTGCATTGTTTTTTACTATTGAAGCTCAGTATTACCCCAGTACTTTGCTATCATCCCAATCATTTGTAATTGTTCACAGGATTAGTCATGGAATTTATACAACAAATTATACTTTGCATAAGACTAGGGACTTACTATAAACAGCTCAACATTCATATTTTTTTTTAACTGTTTATGTTTTTTTTATGTTTTAAGTATTTTTGTTAAGGGGTTTGGTTTTCAGTGTTTAGTTGAGTAAAGATTTAATTCAATATTTTTCAGATCTTTGTTCAGCAACGGAGATTATCGTGGGTGTGTCAATGCGTGCACTGAGGCTCTGAAAGTCAACCCATGCATGTCGTCTTTGTATAGTAATCGAGCAGCTGCTAATTTAGCTTTGAATAATTTACACCATACCATCAATGATTGCACGAAGGTTAGTGTGGCTTTGCTTAACTTAAAAAATTGCTGTCACTATTCCTTCAAAGGTGAATGATCTTGATTATGAGTGATATCAGAAAGTATTCACGATATGCCTTAAAACTAATTCCTTGGTGGAAAGGGAAACATAATTCAAGGGTCATAAGGATGTTTTTTGTTGTATTTGTTTTCACTTTTTACCATCTCTGGAACTTAGCAGAGGCATACCTGTACATACTTTACCGATGGCTAGTTCTATTGAAGTTATCTGCAGATATTTTTCCGTGTGTAGGTGTAAATAGAGTAAGATTGAGAGCAGTGATGTAGTCCAGACTGAGACCATGAATAAGACCTTTTGTAATATAAGCCTTATGGAACACCTGAAGATGAGCCCCTAAGTACTCGCCTAAAGAGCCGTCCTCACCTTAATCATTTGGAAGTTTAACCACCCAGAAACTGTCCATTGTATACCACTATCTCATGAAATTATATCTCATATAAGGAGGAATTTAAATTTACTCCACTAAGTACGATATGTATAAAATAACTGAAGTTTAATGTTAATATTTACAGGCTCTCGAGTTACTTACTCCACCCACTGAGGACAATAGTAAGTCACGGTTACTCTGCCACATCCGGCGAGGCACGGCATTTGTCCGTCTTGGCCTTTTATCCGAGGGTTTAGCAGAATACCAGGCAGCTCACCAAATAACCCCTGAAAATAAAACTCTGAAAAAAGATGTGGAGAAGATACAAGCTATGATAACAACTTCTACGGACTCGGGAGATTCAAATGAGGATGACAGTGGCTGTGGTGAAGATGGAGTCAGTGTTGGTAATAACTTAGCTTGAAGGCTGCACCTTTGGTTGTTCCATCATTACTGTATTTAATATTAAATTTTGTATATTATTGTTTCTAAACAGTGATGATAAATGCTGTGATCGCTTTTATATATATATTATTAGTGACTGCTAGCTATGTATTTAATTTTGTACTGTTTTATAAATTGTATATTGTATATGAAGATTCTCTACCTCATAGGTTTTATATAGCTAAAGAAATATGTTCTTTCCCTAAAATAGTCATCCATGAAGTATTTTAATCCTTAAAGATATATAATAACAGTAAAGATGGCATTTAGATCAGTTGACGTTGTATGCCTGTGAGAGACTACCAGTAAAAATCTTCTCTTCCTCAGCTAACATTCTGTCCGTTGGTCATATTCACACAAATAAATCACTTTGCACTTGTCACAAACTGTATATTCAGACCCTGTGCTATCATTATTTATTTTTATTATCCAATGAACTTTTTTATTTTAGGCCTATCCTGACCAGATAGCAATGAAGTGAATGTGACAGAAAGGTATCCAGTAGCAGCTTGTGAGTGTTACTATGTGGACAAAACCCTCGTGGATATGATAATTTTTTTCCTTTATTTTAGATTATCATAATTCACAGTATTTTGGTCCTTTAACTCAAGTGTCTTGGATGGTATTGAATATCAACAGTTGGTAAACTTTAATGATTTTTGGGGTAGATTATGGCTCACAATGTCCATATTACATTTTGCAATCCATGTGTTCTTATTTCCTCTTGTTTATATCTTTTTTGTCATTTCCTGCATTATATAGTTCTACCATCCCCTGTGTCAGTACTTCCTCAGGTAACCCTCACTCACTGATATTACACATTCCTCTTGCTAATCAGTGGTAATTTTTGAGTGTTTTGCTTGTTACTGCCAAGTCCTGGAAACTTGATGGTGTCACAGTGATGTGTACCTGAATTAAATAGACATTTTGCTTGGGATATTTTGCTCTGAATAATTATGTACAATTGTAGAAAATATCGATAAATGTCAAAGTTGATTTAGGCAGAATGTAAACCAATGACTGGCCTCACTAACACCTGCGCTGATGAAGACCTAACAACCTTGCTCAGACTTTTGATGAATTTTGTATACAGTAGACTCAAGAACTAGGTATTTTTCTTACGCGGTTTCAACTATACGCTGATTACCCCGGGGGTTAGGTTACAATTTATATTCAGATTAATCACTATCTTATAAGAATCTCAGCAATGTAAATTGTATTCTCCCAGGTCAGTTTAGTGACATTTTAGAAGAGAAAAAATAAAACTCAAGCTAAAGGACATAAATAAATAAATAAATAAATAAGTACTTCAATAGACCTTCTGGCACCAGCTGTTAAACACATCATAAACCCCCCTCCCCACCCCAATCTTCCCAGCCAGGGTTTGGTGGTTTTAGGCTTAAAGTTTTTATCTTATATAATATCACAGACTAAAGTTAGCAGAATATAATTTGCATTGCTGGAATCCTTGCAAGATAGTGAATAATTTGAATATAGACATCATATATTTTGCACAAGAGATAAAAATTAATCACCTAGTGTACAGTATATGCAACCCACTCGTAAGTTGCAAGTCTACTGTATATAGATACGGACGATGACTGTTATACAATGGATCAATATGCGCTTGATAAGTTTTGCGATTTAAAAGATTAACACCATTCACCATTGTGCGATGGCTAAAGATAAGTTTTACGATGGTCGCTACCCGAATGTTTTTCCTGCAATGCTTTTCCTGCAATATTCCAAAATATGATGCAATATTAGAATGGTGTAACACATGTGACCCACGTGGGATGCATAGAAGGTTCTACCCATTCCCAGTGACTGCCAGGCTAATCAATTGAATGTGTCACAATGCCCAGAGGATGGTTTGTGTGTGGAAGAAGCTATTCTTTGTACATAATAATAATATACACTGTACCAGTAAATAATAAAAAGAAAAGAAAAATGTTGCATTGCCATTTGTCATTTTTGTCACTAGCACGAGCGGATGAACACTCCTCCCACCACAACCACCACACCCCACCACTCCCCACTGCCACCACCACTTCCCACTACCACCACCACTCACCACCACACCCCACCACTCCTCACCACCCCCACCACTCCCCATCATCACCGCTCCCCACAACCACCACTTAGCAATGGCGTTTTAAGGTCCCTAACCCCTCGTATAAACATTGCCTGTACCATATAGTAAAGATGATGATGCTTTAATATGTGTTATCTGTTTCACCACATTCCTCTGCCCAGTACTGTACATTGTCTCATGTAGTCTCCTATTTATATCCTTATCTTACACATCTTTATACATCACTTCTTGTTGACTTACCCAAATAATCCTTCAGTCACTTTCCTCCTTCCTTGTACAGTATTTCACTCACTCATCCTGCCTCTTGTAGAAATCCCAGCCTCATTTATAAGCATGTACTGTTCTGTATTTTTACTGTCTCATAATTTATGCAAGAGTATCAGTTAACTGTCTTACCTCAACAGATTCTTACAACTCCCATCATTCAATCCTCTTTACTTGAAGAAGTTCACTGAGATATTTACAAAGTACCATTAAACCACAAATCACAATAATACATCATTTGTTTTAGGTATCTTTACTGTTTTGAGTAATACTGTGCTTTCTGCTACTTTATATTGTTCCTCTCTGTACTGTAGACTTAGTATATCTTAGTTCCCTGTTCAGTGAATTTGGTAACACCACTTACAGCAACATATGCATCTTCCACATCCATAAACCCTGTTGAAATATTTCTTATTACTTTTGCTTTCTTTTTAGTGTGTAATAGAAACTAGGGATTCTCAACAGTAAAAGCTAAGCTAACACTATGAGGAGTGAATAGGCCAGTAAAACAAAAATGTAACATTGTTGTTTTCACAGTACGAACAGTATTCTTAAAGAGTAGTATTATAATACAGGTATCTCTCGTGATATGTATGTTCTAGATACAAAAATTCACTTATATGAATTTCATAAATTGACACCATCTTTTGAGATATTAAAACTTCCCCCACATATATGAATTTGGGTCCGGGCAAAAATTCAATTAGGCGCCAAGAGTCAGCTGGTGCGGCCATCTTGGGGAGAGATGCACAGAGTAAAGCCCTTGCTGAGCCCACCCCCTTCTGGTGGTGAGCCCAGACTACCCTCCCATAAGGTAATGTTTCAAAGTTACGGTATTTTCTTAATTTTTTTTTTCATGTGTGAGGTAGTAAGTGTACAGATTGTGGGAGAGGCAGAGAGCGGTGGTGGGCTGTGAGTTGGTTATTGTTATTTTTCAACTCGTGTTTTTGGGTAGCTATACAGAAGAAAAAAATTACATGTTTTATTCTGTTATATGCACACACAATCTTTCATAAGGTCAAAAGCATAAAGGAATTAAACATTTATTATGTATGCAGATGGGAGCAAGTACTGAGGGAGGGACAGCTAGCTCCTCACCCTCCTCACTCACTGCACTGCCGTCTCCTGCCAAATGGCAACGCAGTATTGTTTTATTTATTATTATTATTTATTCTTTACATTTACTGGTACAGTTTATATTATGTACAGAGAATAAGTTCTTCCATGTGCAAACCTCTCGTGCATCCAGCCTGTGTGGGTCGCATGTGTTACTCCCTCCCTTTAGGTAATGTATCAAAGTTAAACAGTATTTTATTAAACAAAATTCATATGTTAGGTAGTAAATTAGAGTACTAGTTGTGTACTATTTATTATTGGTCAGGTAAGTGTTGTTCTTGCTTGTGAACCAATTTCGTGTTTTTGTGTTATGATAGTAGGGTATTTTTGTCATTTGGGAACCTAGCCATGTTTTTCCTATACAACGCTTTATCTATTCGTGATATGTGAATTCATCTAACGAATGGATTTTTATTTTTGAATTAACCCATTTGTATTTTGAGGGATACCTGTATTGATTTATCAAAAAAGTAGCCATCAAGAAGTAAAAGATGCTGAAAGATAATAAATTCTTCTTGACAATGTAAGTGATTAGGGTCAGCTGATCTGGAGTGTGAGATTTTACCTTATGCTTATGACTAATGGCTTGAGAACATAGCAAGTTGCAGTTACTCAATAACTTAGGTTCCCAGTTGACATTTTCTGTTCAACATATAATAGGTTAAAATATAATATCTTCAATAACCAATACAGTACAATACACTTGCTAAGTGGATAGTGTGCTAACAACTTGAGGTGCCAAGCTCAGTTCTCGGGGACAGGAAGCAAGTTCCCAACACAGAAAACTGACAACCTTCAAGTAATGGACTTTTATCTTCCTTAAAAGTACCCAGCCCAATTTATTAGAAACTGCATAAATTTATAGTTTCCAGTTGATCATTCTTTTTTGTTTTAATGAGTAAATGAAACTAGAATTATATGATTTTGGTTCTTCTGTAAATGTAATTTATAGGAACTGACAAAGATAAATATTTACTGTACATGTTTTAGTTATTTATTTATGGGGTAGCATTTTTAGGCAAAGAAGATTAACTTCATCTTGGGTACTGATGTGGTGAGAGAAAACCACATGATGTACGCACCAAAACATATAATATCCCCACCCCTCCTTGACTGTTCTCACATTTGACATTCTTGCATGAGAACATTGATATTGCTTTGGTGAAATTATATTTTCTATTTTTTAGGGCAATTCTTTGATAAAGTGTATTTTCTAACATTACCAAAAACCAGTGGTCCCCAACCTTTTGTAGGCTCTGGGCCACATTTATCATTGTAAATATAGTGGAGGGCGCCATAACTTTGGATCTTCAACATAAAAAACACAACTCATTATACAGTACAGTTAACAGTTATTTGCAGTTTTACACAAGTCTAACTGTTTAACTGTTACCAGCTACACACTTTTTACATTTACTCTTGGATCATGCTATCTCTCTCTCTCTCTCTCTCTCTCTCTAGCCCCAGTCTGTGGTAAATACGAGCATC